CCCACTTGAATCAAAGTGTGAAATATGATATATCAAGAATTATGTAATGTTTTGAACAGCCAACAATAAAAAATTTAAAAAAAATAAATAAATTTTAAAAAGACTCAAAAAAAAAATAAATAAATAAAATCTTAATACTTTTTTAAAAAGGAAAACCCATCAAATACTTTTAAAATTTCTTCATTTAAGTTGAAGGGATGTTTTTCTATATGGAGGTATTATATTAGAAGCTAATTTTTTTGTTTTTAAATAGTTACTTAGCCTGAAACATGCAATCAAATTGAGGATGAGTTGGAAGATAGCATCCCCAACTTTTTAAAGTAAAGAAATATAAAAGTGCACTGCACAACTTAGGCCAAACTCACCAGTGGTTCTCTATTCTTCACTAGACGAATTATTTTTACAGAGTCTTCCTCATCGTCAATATCATCAGGCATAGGGGGCAGTACAGGATCGTAATTCTTCTGAGCCACAGTATCATGTACAGAGAGTAAAGCCTGTAGAATTCAAAAGTTGGTAAAAATAATTAATCAAACACAAAAGGACAAACACTTCAAACTGTAAAGAAAACAGAAATAGTGTTATGATTTTGGCCTGGTAGTAGCAAATCAACTTCTTGAAAGGGGTCTTTTATAAACAGGATGGTAAGCAGAACCTGCAGAGATGCAGCTGGCAGCACGACCTAGCTGCACCTCTATCTCCAGGGTCATTAATGCAGACAAGAATGAGCACACACCTTCCTCTAGCTCAGCTATTGCTGGTTTATCCTTACAAAGAAGGCAACTTGGAAGCAAAGGTGGAGAGGGTGTGTGAAGGGAGAAAATGAGGCTATAGATACATAGTCAGTGAGCCAGAAGGAATCTGAGAAAACTACATATTTTTTCTTCTTAATATTTGTCGTCCTGTTGGAAGAAAACACAGAACTATCAATGTGATTCTTTTGTTTTCTCATGTTTTGTGTAACAAGTGTGTATAGAATAATAAAAAGTATTTTTAGTTATGATAAGTATGGGAACAAAACTCCATAGTGCATGGATATGTTGTCTTTATAGACCAAAGATGGGGGGAAAAAAGCACTGAAACCTTGCATGTCACTACTATTTTAGAAGTGTGGGTTTTAGACTTTCAATTAACTTGTCTCTTAATCTAATCAACAGCATAACTGACCATAATTTATTCAAGTTGGAAGTCTGCCAATCATCCTTGAAATCTCCCCTCTCACTTATACTCGCAATATCCCATCTTATACCCTATTAAATCCACTCCTCAAATATATCTCAACTTTATTTCCTTCTCTGTAGATCGGAGATTCGTACAACACTGCTTATTTTTGTGAATAAAGTTTTATTAGAACATAGTTGTGCTTATTTATATATTTATGGTTGCTTTCATGGTATAATGGCAAAATTCAGTAGTTGGAAAAGATAATTTCTTATCTAAAACATTGGCGACCCCCAGTCTAGATGACTGACGCTATCATTTTGGGCTTGGAGTACTGCAATAGCCTCTAAATGGTCCAGCTGCATTGAACTTCATCCATTTTCATATCCATACTTCAAACAGTAGCAAGACTGATTATTTTGAAATTTATCCCTTCTAAGCCCACAGATCTTGGAAGATCAAACTCTTTGACATCTTCTAACAGTCTCGTTATCTCTCCAACCTTATCTTACACCATTTTTTTTTTCACTCAAGTAATTTTTTTCTCATAGAGGCATGGCCCAGATATTCAGTATAAATATTAAATGGCAGTTCCCTCCATTTCTTCACTTCATCACCTTATTCTTTGCCTTCATAAATGTTCACAACTTGTAATCACATAGGTATTTTATGGTTATATATTTAATATTGGCTATCTATTGAACCAAGCCCTAAGGTAGTAAAAATGGTGTCTTTTTCAATTAGTCATTTTTAGTGACTCTTAACATATGCAGTCATCCCTCAGTATTCACAGGAGATTGATGTTAAGACTCCCCTCAGATACCTAAATCCTCAGATGCTCAAGTCCCTTACATAAAATGGTGTGGTATTTACATATAACCTACGCCTAGCCTCCCATACACTTTAGGTCAGTTCTAGATTACTTATAGTACCTGATATAGTGTAAAAGCCATGTAAATGGTTGTTACACTGTATTGTTTAGGGGAAAATGACAAGAAAAACCAAGGTCTATATATGTATAGTACAGATGCAATGTTTTCTTTCAAATAGTTTTGGTTTGTGGTTGGTCGAATCTCAGATGTAGAACTCACAGATATGGAGTACCAACATAACACAGAAAGTAAAGCTTGTAAATGCACTGGAGGATGAATTTAAAAAATAATATGCCCCAAAAGAAACTGAACCCTAGAAGCTCCCGTTTAAGTGTTTTACTATTCATCCTGCCTCTCTATCCCCCAAAGGGTGACTCTATTTGAAAATTAGGATTATAAGAGTGGATTCAGTTTTTCACTAATATTAAGTAAGATTTATTCAAGCTGTTACTGGTGGCAGTTTTCATTTTTCATATAAATTGTATCCCAAATACTTATTTCAGTTCTTTAGCCATTACATTTTTGAAGGACATATAGTTTGCTTCAGTTCTTGACTATTACAAATGATATTCCTGTAAATAGTTAATGTCTTTTGATGTATAGATATATAATTTTGGCTAAGTATATTTAAGAATGGAAATGCCTAGGCCACTGGTTATAAGTATAGCCAACATTAGTAGACACGATTTTTCAATTATACTCCCATTAACAGCATAGATGAATCTACTTTCTTCCCCAACATTTTACATTATTTTCATCCCCCAACACTCTACATTATTAATTTAAATTTGAGTCATTCTGAGTGTGTACCATCTCCTCTGGTTGAAATTTTCTAATAACTGATGAGACAAAAGGCAAAATTCTTCTACATTGATTAAGCATGTATATATATATTCTTGTGTGAGATGCCCCTTCAAGGCCCTTTTCCATTTTTCCATTGTATCTCTCTTTTTCTTATTGATTTGCAAGAGTTCTTTACAATATGCTGGATTAGAATGTTTGTCAATTACACATGCTATAAACATAGTTTCTCACTTGGTAGCTTGCTTTCACTTTCCCAATGGCATTTTTCAATCAATAAAGAATCCTAATTTTAATGAGCTCAATTAATGCTTTTGTGTCCAGTAAGAGTTTGCTTCAATGGGAAAAAATGAAAAGTATCAAGATGATGAAATTTTTAGAAATAATGGCTACAAATTTCCGAGAACTAATGAGACATCCTGAGATTCAGAAAACCAAGGATTTTTCTAAAAAGCAGGAAAAATAAAAAGAAATCCATGCACAGAAATATTATAATGAAACAGCTGAATGCCAAAATAAGGAAAAAGTATTAAGGAAAGAAAGTTTGACCAGCAGAAACAATGGAAACTAGAAAACAGCTGAAATACTTTGAAAATGCTTTGAAAAAATAAAATCCAGCCCCACATTTTATATCCAGCAAAAGTATCTTTCAAGAACACTGATGAGGGCCAAGATGAGATTACAAGTACCCACCTGGAAAACGCCTTTTAAACAAAAGGAAAAGGAGACAATAGTTTTCTTTCAAAAAACACTGGACATTAAACAATGAAGGACAGTGACTACTGAGAAACAGAAAAATATCAGAGAAGAAAGAACCCATATAGAATTCTGACAGTGGTCTAAGTTGTAAAAACAGAGGTAGAAATGAATCCAAGGAAGTCAAGAAGCTGAAGTTCTCAGGGAAGACTATGGGGGAAGAGAGAGCGGCATAGACACAGAATTCCTGAGATATAAAGGATAGCCAGGCCCTAATCCATAGCATGCATATGCAAAAACTACCAGATGGTCTGATTAATATTCATATATATAAGATTCTCAAACAACTACACAGTAAAAAATTATTGACTTAAAAATGGGCAAATGATATGACTAGACATTTCTCAAAAGAAGACATGCAAATGGCTGACAGAAATAGAAAAAATGCTCAATTTCACTAATCAACAGGCAAAGAAAATCAAAACGACAATGAAATACTACTTCATATATGTATGTACTGTTTATTATAGCAATATTAACAATAATCAAGGTATAGAATCAATCTACGTGTCCACCACTGAATAAGTGGTATCTATACATAATGAAATGTAGGCTCATGTACTACAAAAATGAATGAAATTTTGTCATTTGGAGCAACAGGTGAGGAGGACATTATGTGTTAAATAAGCAAGGCACAGAAAGACCAACATTTCATGTTTTCAATATGTGGAAACTAGAAAAGCTGACTTCATAGAAGCAGTGGGCAGGACAGTGATTACTAAAAATTACAAAAATATAGTTAGGAGGATTAAGTTTTAATGTTCTATAATGCATCAGGGTGAATGCAATCGACAATAAAGTTCTGTGTATTTCAAAATAACTGAAAAAGAGAATTTTCAATATTACCAACACAAAAGAAATGATAATGTTTAAGGTGATGGACATGCTAATTATCCATTTGATCATTGTATCTCACTGTAGCCCATAAATATGTAAAATTGTGTGTTAATTTAATAAATACTATCAGAAAGAATTAGATACATGATTCTTAAGGGAAAGTGATTTCACTCTCCAGGGAACATTTGGCAATGTTTGGAGGCATTTTTGATTGTCACAATTTTGGGGTTGCTACTGCCATCTAGTGCACAGAGGCAAGGGATGCTCCTAAATATCAGCACAAAGAACAACCCTCTTACCCCCAAAACAATTATCCAGCCAAAAATGTCAAAACAGTGCCAAGGTTGAAAAACTCTTCTGCTATAGTTTGGATATGTGGTTTGTACCCCAAAGGCTCATGTACTAGAGGTCTACCTCCCAAAGCACTATTAAGTGGTAGTAGAACCTTTAAGAGTTAGTGCCTACTGGGAGGGAATTAGGTCAAAGCGGGTATCATTATGGGAACATATTACTCTCGAAAGAGAAGTTAGCTCTTGAGAGACTGGATTGTTAAATTCAAGACCACCCTGGGCACCTGGCCTCTTCTACACATGACCTGTTCCCTTCTTGTTTATCTACTTGTTGTAATGCAGCCCAAAGAGTCCTTTACTAGAGGCCCAAACAATGGAACTGCCCGATCTTGGATTTTCACCTTCCAAAACTGTAAACTAACTAACCCTATTTTTTAAAATAAGTATGCAGCTTTAAGTATTTTATTATAGCAATAGTAAACAGAGTAATACATTCTGAACTACAAGGAACGATCCCTGAAGCAGGAGTAGTTCTTCTCACCTGAGAGAAGGAAAAACACAACACATTGAGTTGTCACATAGACTTCAACAGTTAAAAATAGGCCCAAGATTAAGTGTTGCTATGGTGTCATCTAGCAAAGCTTAAACATAAGCCTCTGAAGGATCAAAATGTTTCCAAATAACTTCACTATTTAACAGAAAAATTCTTGAGATTTTTATTTACAGAAACACAAAATTACCCAGCTTCATGAGAGAAAACCCACAATGATTGAAATTCAA